AACTTTTTGCATGAAGGCTTGAAGCACAGAGAATCTTGTAACCCGGAAAAGGAAGCCAAGAACTAGAAAGCCCAACAGAGCTCCAATATTGTTACACTGCTGAATTTACCAAACTTTTTAACCATCTACCTCTGAATTTCTTGTTATATGAGATAATGAACCCCCTTTACTTTAGCTACTCTTAGCACTCTATAGACAAAATCATCCAAAGTCATTCAACCTCTAAAGGCAGAGGAAAATGAACTCCTGTCAGTTCCCTTATATCTGTGGACACAGTGGCATACCAGAAGTACCTCTGACTCTTCCAATCACCTCAAAAATCCAGGAATACTTTGCAGTTGAGTCTATAATATACATTTATTGTTTCAATACATTTTCCACCAAGAAACAAAATCACTTCAGACAAAATCTGAGAAAAGATATGGGGAAGGGTAAGAAAGGGCAGATAACTCTATGTGTTTGATGCATCATCTTCTAGAATATAATGTTCTTTGAGTGTTTTCATTTAATCTGATGGATTTTTATCAATCCATTCTGAAAGACATTATTCAGACATTAGAAAGTTAAGTAAAATGTAAATTTTACTTAAGTAAATTATTTTTCAAACAATTCAAATTTTTCATGAGTTAACTGGAATCCTTAATGAAAGCCTTCTTAGAGTTGTGATATCTATCCATAATACACTCAAAAAGCCAGTGGTGGTTGTGAGAAAGAAAAAAACTTCAAGGCTATGAAAGACATAAACTTTGTGGTTAGTTCTTTAGCCTTACCAGTTCTCTATAGACACCTTCATGTTTTCCCTCTGATTTGGTTGACTTTTCTTTCTGTAAAATTTCCCTATTTCGGTTACCAGCAGCACTCATGTTGAGATTACTTCTAGCACCACCACCACCTCCTCCAAATGTCTTGGTCTTCAGATAAGAGAAAGATAAAAGAAATGTAAACACACAGTATTTTTAAAAGCCCTAAAGACTAAGCTATGACTAAAAATTGTAAATCCAGCAAAACTAAAATAGTTAAAAAAGTTTCTTAATTATGTTTTACAGGAAGAAAACAAAATGTTAACTAATGCTTTTTAAACGATATCTACTAGTCATGATCTCTTCTTTCCACAAGTCCAGGTGAAGCAATTTAAAAATTACATAATTATAATCTTTAAATGTCCAAAGCAAATCATCAGAATAAACCTAAGTAGACAACAATGTAAAGGAAAAGAAAATAATACAAGCATTATGGTTATTAGCTGTCAAAATGATTGTAGGATAAAATACTTGACGGATACCATGAGACTCGGGTTGCAAATCCAGCTACATGGCAAGGCTACCCTTAGCAAAGCACCAAACCTATCCAGGAATCAGTTACATTACGTCCATGATCCAGTAATAGGATTCTATAATCTAAGAAAGTAGACAAGTAATAGAAGTTTTAAGACTAGATTAAAACTCTCATTACTAATTTATTTATATTTATTACATAACATGCTATATCCTACCAGTTATGTATAAAAGCGGTAAAGTCCATATTTCTTATTTAGTCTGACTTATTTGAATGATTATATGTGTAATCAAATTTGAATTTGACCTCATTTTTGTTTTATCAAAACTATTGTGAAAAGATTAGAACATAAAAAAACTGGTTTGGTGCTCAATTTGGCAGCACATATACTAGAAAACATTGGTTGGGAAAGAGACCAATTCATGACTGAAAAAGCATCCCACAGTTATTTGTACAATATCAAATTAAACATCTGGTTATATAATGTATTTATAGTTCTCTAATAGATCTAATAAAAACAAAATAAGTCAAGACTTGATTTTCATTAGAGATAATTATCAATATTTTTTAATGTGTCTTAAAATGCCTTCAGTAAGAAAACATTCTGGATACACATTTATATAATATTGGGAAATTATTCTGAATCAGATGAAAATGTAAAGAAACAGAACAGAACCTGAAAAACAGAAAAATGATGTGAGATAAGTATCAATGGACAACATTAAATATCTCTATTAGGTAGCTGATACACTACAATATTTAAATTTAATTCAAATCAAAATTAAAACCACATCTTCAAAGACCAAAGATTCATTAATAGATTCACTCAATTTTTGGTTTCTGCAATCTCAGCAAAATAAATAAATAATTTGGAATGTCTTGAGAGTCATTACTTATATAACCATAAGGAACAATGTGAGTCTATATTGATATGTTACAACTCTAATGTGATTAGACTGGGAGACAATGTAGCATAGGTAAGAACATAGCTTGGTCTTCAGATAAGAGAAAGAGCTGGGGCTAAGTCTGCTCAGCCACTTCCCGTTTCCTGCCCTCAGGCAAGTCACTGAACTGCCACCTTTCATGAGCCTCAGGTTTCTCATCCTTAAAACAGGGATGAGAAAACCTACTTCACTGGGATGTTGTGAAGATTAAATGACATCATCAACATGAAGTGATGAATTCAATAACTGGCATGTGGTAAACACTCATTAACAGACGGCAATATTAGTGTTCTGCTTAATATATTAGGACATAGTCACCTGAAAAGTCTGGAGCCTAATCTGTTCCAAATTAAATATATTTCCGGAATTTAAATTCCGTAACTCCAAAAGTGCTTTTTCTTTTGGTGCCAGTGAAATAGCCCCATCTCCTGGAGGCACTTCCTTATCAAAGCAAAAAAGAACACCCCAGTCTTCTTCAATTTGAGGTAAGCAACTCTAACCTGCCATTTTTTCAGGACAAAAACCTTGAAGTCATTCATGACACCACTTCTTCTCTTAAGCTCTATATTTAATCCTTCAGAAATCCTGATGGTTGTACTTTCAAAATACCAGAATCTGAGCACTTTGTACCACCTACACAGTTGCCATCGCTACCAAAATTTTTCTCCCCCTCGATTACTTCAGTAATTTCCTAACTTGTCTGATTCCAGTCTTCTTTTCTGAACACAACAGCCAGAATTAGGCTTAAAATGCAGGTCTGCTGATGTACCAAAGTGCTGAAACCCCTCCCAAGGCTTCTCATTTCTTTCTGAGTCTGTAAGGGGGCTAACATGGCCCGACATAAGCTGACCTCCATTATCACCCTTGACTTTGTATTCTAGAACTTATTCCTTTGCCTTCTCTGCTTCCACCGATCCCCCTTCAACATACTCCTGCTCAGAGCCCTTGTGGCAGCTTTTCCTTCTCCCTAGAACACTCCTCTCAGACGCCAAAATACTAATTCTCCTACTGCCTTGGTGTTTTGGCTCAAATCTCACCATCTTGAAGCCTAATCAAATTACTATATTTAAGAGTGAAATCTGCAATTTACTTATTTAGTATATTATTGACTGTCCTTACTAGAATATAAACCACACAAGAATTTTAAAGGATTCTACATTTCTGACCATCCTATTTTAAATTGCAACCCGCAACTCCCCTCACCAACTGGCACTTTCAACTCCCCATCCTACTCTACTTTTTCTTTTTTCCCATGGCACTTACCAACTTCTAATCTACCATATAATCTACATATATATTATGCCAATAGTCTGTCACCCTTACTAAATTAATACAAAACAAAACTGTTCACTAAAATATAAGCTTGATATGGGCAAAAATCTTCTGTCTATTTATTTGTTCATTGTTTTAACCTAAGCATTTAAAATACTTCCTGGCTTATACGAGGTTCTCAAAAAATACTTGCTGAATGAAGAACTTAAAGGAAAAAAGGAATAAAAAAAATCACTTGGTCATTTGCAGTAGATTCTGCCAAATCCGGATAAGTACTTAAACAGATGAACTTAAACATCCTTTCAGAACAATTACACTGTTACATGATTTTGCTGTTCATTCAGATTAAATATAAATGTGTGTGTATACTCATCTATATATACAGACACATAGACACAGATATAGACATGATTTCTACTGTAATACACATACGTTGGTCCTAGGCTTGTCACTGTGTAACCTCAAGCAAGTTCCTTTATAGTTTTGAGCCTCTATAAACTCTTTCATATGTAAATTGAGAAGTTTAAATTCTGCTTCAGAAAACTTTGATTCTGTATTTATCAACTATTTATGGGAAAATATAATGTGATCAATTATGGCTTTAAAAAATGAAGCATATTACTGTATGTTAACTATATTCCAGTAAATAGATAGCAGTAACCACACCAAACAAACTTCTGTAAAGAAAGTTTGTCTGAGAAAAATGTAAATCCAAAGAACAACTTTCCTACAATCATTAAGAAATTGATGCACTCCCAATATTGTCTTCTGAAAATCCACAACTTTAATAGCTTTTTGGTAAAGAAGAAATACATTTTATGTAAACTGTGTAAAATGTATTAATTTCAGAAATGTTAAAAATGACTTTTTAAATGTGCCTTAGAATAGAGAAAATACTGAGAAATAGCGATCATCACATTTATTGAGGGCTTTTAGCAAAGGAATACTGTAGCTAAGGCAGTGAGACTGTAACTAGGGACTCTCGGTCCTCAGCATTATCCCAACTCTATTTTTCAGTTTAACATAGCTGTGATCTTATGCTTACCAGGTCTAATTTCTACCCTAGTTCACCTTTAACTTAACTTGCTGCTGATGGTGCATATCGAGATTGAAAATCAGTTGTTCCTTACTCTCCAGGAATAGCTAACCAAAGATTTATGACTTAGATAATGTTCCAACCATGAGTAAGACTTGCTGGCTACTTGAAATTGTGTAATTAAGACAATCATCTCTGAAAATTGAAGACTGCCCCCTTCCTATGAGCTCACAGCCCTTTGCTCTTTTCCCTGTATAATCTCCAAGCAAAACCTGGGGAGTTGGGAGTTGGTTTTTTGGAACAAGAGTCTACCCTCTCCCCAGGACTGCCGGCTTCCTCAATAAAGCTCTCCTTACTTTAACACAACACTCGTCTCTCAGTACTGGATTCTTGAGTGAAGAGGAGCCGAACCTGAGTTCGGCAGCAATTCCATGATCTATGCCATGTAGTATTCTAAATATTTTAAAGATTATCTATTTTAATTCTCACAGTAATCCTATGAAGTAGGTATCCCTGTTATCCTCTTCTCATAGATAAAGAAAATATGGTACAAAATTTAAATAACCTATCCAGGGGTGTCAGCAGGACATGCTTCCAGGCTGCCTGATTCCAGAATTTGTGCTCTAATGTCCCCAACATTAGACTGATGATAGTCAGAAAAAATCGAAGGAAGAACCAACAAAATTCAAGAAGTCACCTATTTAAAATCTGAATTTAAATCTGTTAGCTAAGATTTATTACTGGTTTTGAATAAAGAAACCTATATCACTGGTTAAGAAAAGTCTACCTAAGCAACTAATTCATGAACTAAAATTTCTTATCAAAATCTAAAAATCAACAAATAACTAGGGAAAACACCTATTTCAAATAAGTAAGAAATTAAAAATAATGAAAAGAAAACCTGTGGGCTATTGATAGTAAATGATAAGGGGGGGATGTAAAAATACATATATAATCCAAAGACAAAAAGTATTTTTTACTATACAATAGATTTAAAAATGAAAACTAACAAAGATACTAGAGCATATTTTTACTGATGAAATATGGAAGGAGAAAGTCAAAAGTTTGTTCAGTTACTTTATGTAAGAAGACAATAATGATTATGGTAATCTAAATAGAACATAATGACAAGGAATAAGAGAAATCCATAATGATTTAGCTTCTTACTTCTTTGCTCTTTGCAACTTCTGCAATAGCAGCAGTCCTTTGCTTTTCAAATTCATCATTATCATTTGTAGGTTTGACAGGCATTGTAACTTGCAATGTCTTTCTTCGATCAAGTTCTCTGCTATCCACTTGGACATGAGACACACACTTCTGTTAATAATAAATAAAAATAAACTGCTTCAGTAGTTCCAAAAGAGACTCAAGGTTTTCATAAGAAAGCAACATGTCTTCAAAAGAAATGCTTGTATCACAACAGCTGGGAGTCCATAAAAATACAATTCTTTCCCATGGATTTAAAAATAATGGTAGAGAACTAATCGAAATAATGTTTAAATAACTGTAACCGATAAATGAAAGCTACAATAAATGTAGCCACCTACAACACAACACATATTTAAAACATAAATCAAACCAAGAGATCTAAGTTTCATTTTAGGATAATGATTTAAAATAATTTTAAACTTCAAACAGTCTGGACTATTGCACAAGTGTAAATTTGGATTTTTATTAAGAGCTTGATTTCCACATTATGCCACAATATCCATGAGGGTTAAGTAATACAGCTATTTTAACATATAGAAAGATGTCTCTGAACTTATAAACCAAAAGCTAAAAACATAACCCTTTCCCCTCAATCAGGCTGCAAAATTTTTTATTTTTAGTCCCTTAAAACAAACTAAGAAAGCCATCATTGCCTAAAAATAAGCCCTGAATTCTGTTCTCTTCTAATCCTAGCAGCAAAAATCTTATTAAATGAAACTTTTTCAACTCAGTAATTGTAAAGAGGAAGAAAAACATGCTCTCAAATATTTTATACAAATACAGATTTTCAGCAATATAAATATAAAATAGCTGACACTAACACACAGCCAGTATTTTCTCCTCTAACCCATGTACAAGGCTAACATATGCTGAAAAGGGTTTTTCAGAATGGACTTCATAAACAAATAATATTCTTGAAGCTATGGCTTTTTATATACTTCCTAATACAAAAAAAAGTTATAAAACTCTTCAAATCCTTGAAAATACTTAAATCATAAGTCTCTACAAGCAATTTATGAAAGAAATATTATCACCAAAACATTTAAGGGGAAAGTAAATTCTTATAAACAAAGCATTTATTATTTTCAAATATAAATTATTAGAATGTTTACACTGTTTTCTATTCTGGATTTTTTAAGTGACAGAAAGGAGAATATCATCAACATAAATCATGCCTCCTTTTATCTTCACTGTCCCAAGCACAATAAAATACGTTTCAAAGCACAATAAAAAAGTATGTTTTAAATACTTCCTAAACAGCCATGAAGCAAGACTGACTTATTCAATTTTGAGTAGACCCTACAAAAAAGGTTTTTTGGAGAGGATGCCAGTCAACTGATCCTCCCCATTTATTATCTGATCAACTAGATATCTGTTTTTCTTATCAAAATATTTTTATATAGGTCTCTGTTTCCCACCTATTGTGTCCCCAACTCATCTTCACCCTGAGCCAGAACTCAAAGGAAAATTTAGCACAAATGCAAGGCTTTTTACCAAGAGCTAGATTTTACTGGCATCATGTGGCAAAGAGTAAGCAGCCACAGGGATTATTCTCAGACTTTTCAGGCCTAAAGCAGAGACAAGCTGGGAGAGACTGTTCTCAACATAATGTGATGCTTAGCATAACCAGGAAACACAAGATATTGGCCAGTTGAGGAGCTACCTCAAGGTTACATTTTGCAGCAAAGGGGGTTGAAAGTTAGGAAACAGAAAACTCTTAGCTTATGTAAGAGAAGGACCATGGCTGCTGTAGTTGAAAACAGAAAATACCAACTGGAAATAAAGTTAAGCCCCACACTGAGATGGGTATCTAGATGGAGGCAGAACAGAATCCCGGCAGGGACGGTCGGGACAGAGGCTCTCCTGAAGCACTGATGCCCTTCCCTGCCTTGAGTCCTCACATTTTTGTCTCCTGTCACTCCTTCTGTTGACACTTTTATGTTCTTTCTCTTTTGTTTTTAATGGACAAACAGATATTATAGCATATTTTTTGTCTTCTTACTTTTGAACTTCTTTCTCTTTCAAAAAACAAACAAACAAAAAAACAGCCTACCCCTACCACCATCTTACCTTAATTAGTTTTAAGTTGCACTTCGGGTGTGTCTCTTGATTGTTTCAATCTTTGCGCTAATAGCTTTTAAGAAAAGAATCTACACCAAAACTTTAATTACAGTAAAGAAAAAACAAAACCCACTATTATTAAATTCCTGTACTTAATAAATTTCCGTATAACTCCTATGACCTCTGAGTGAATAATCCAGTACAAAACTAAACACAGCTTGAATACAAATCAAAAACACTTTTTGCTGAATAAAATTCACCTTCCAAAACAAAAGTCATTACCTGTCCAAAAGGCACAAAAGGAGGTGGCCCACCTTCGGTTCCAATATTGCTTCTATTGTGTTTTGACAAGCTCTATGAGAAAAGTGAGTCATAAAACAAAAATTATACATTACAAATATATTTAACAACATTTACAATGTACCAGGAATCCACTCATTTTAGTAGATTCTTACAAGAAATTTTTTAAAAATCATCTATTATTATTTCAAACTATATAAAATATTTTATTACTAACTTCCATAGTTAGGCAAAGGCTCTCCCCTAACTTTCCCTTACCAAAACCCACATTCACATACAGTTTTCAGAGTACTGGCCAAGCTGCTCCCATAAGAAGAAAACATAGTAAAAATCCTTCTCAACAAAGATAACAAACTTTGATAGCAAGAATTTTACTTCAAGTAATTTACACTATAATCCCCACAGAAAAATGTTATCTGGAAATTATCTTCAATATGAAATTTTTAGACAAAAAAATCTATTAGCAAACAACATATCTGTGATACTGCTCTTTAATAAGAAATATATATTTGGTATTTGCCCCCAGTTCCTGGAACAGAGATCCTAAAACACCTGAAATTTCCTGAGTCAGAGGGGTGAGGAGAACATTTGGTTCTTCACAGTAAGCTCTTCTGACCATCCTGAGTTTACATTAATGAAGTGACTACTAGTGGGCCTAGAGAGCTCCAAGTTGGGGGCCGGCTGCCAGAAGAACCAACAATGCAATTAGAAGGCTAGAGATCGAGTTAGTCACCAATGGTCAATGATTTAATCAGAATGCAGATGTAACGGGCCTCCATAAAAACCCCACAAACACTGGGGTTCAGGGAGCTTCTGGACTGGTGAGCACATCCATGTGCCAAGAGGGTGATGCACATCAAACTCCACAGGGACAGAAGCTCCTGTGTTCAGGACCCTTCCAGATCCTACTCTATTTACCTCTTCATCTGGCCAATCATTTGAATCTTTTATAATATCCTTTATAATAAACCAGTAATAGCAAGTACAGTGTTTCCCTAAGTTCTCTGAGCCATATAACAAATTATCAAACCTAAGTAGGAGATCACGAGAACCCCTAATCTGTAGCTAAGTTGGACAGAAGTGTGGGTAACTCTGGAAACAATTACTTGCAACTGGCACCTGCAGTGAGGGGCAGTCTTGTGGGACTGAAATCTTATCCTGCAGGTAGTTAGTGTCAGAACTGAATTAAATTTTAGGACATCCAGTTGGTGTCCACAGAGAATTGGAGAACTGCCTGATGTGGAAGATCCCACACTTGGTGTCAGAAATGTTGTGACTAGAAACAGTTCACAGGAATCAGACTGTTATAGCTTGTAATATGGAGGTTACTTTCAATTATAGTAAAATTTCCTTAATAAAAGTCTTGTTTTGCAAATTAACATACTTTGAAGAAGTACTCAACCGATTGCTCATTAATAAAAATAAGCTTCCAAACACTACTAACTTTGTTTTCCTTTTTCTCTATTATACTTAGGATTAGAGAGATAATAAAATACCATGGAAATTAAAAAATAGTTTCCCAGCAGAAGCAATTTCTCACATTATAAAGTCCTTCAAAAATGCCATAAGGAATTGTCAGGACTCCTTTCACTCCTCCTGTTTGTTTTATCTTTGATGTGTAAACATATGTCTGTTAAGCACGTCTTCTCAGTTTTAAAGATTTTTGTGCATTTTTAATGATTATCATTACAGAAAGTGTTATGTTTAAATATGATGTAAAATGGTGAAAAAGAAGTTTTGAAAAACCACTATATGTACTTTAAACATACTCTAGAGTTCCTGCATTATGTAAAGAATACTATATATATTTAACGTAAAGAACCTGTTGCATTTCTTTACACTAACAACAAAATATCAGAAAGGGAAAGTTAAAAAAAATCAAAAAATAAATAAAATACTTAGACATAAACCTGACCAAGGAGGTGAAAAACTTATTATACTCAGAGAACTATAAAATACTGATTAAGGAAACTGAAGATAATTCAAAGAAATGTAAAGATATCTCATGCTCTTGGATTGGAAGAATTAATATTGTTAGAATGACCATACTACCTGAAGCAATCTACAGATTTAATGTGATCCCTATCAAACTACCCAGGACATTTTTCACAGAACTAGAACATATAATCCTAAAATTTATATGGAACCACAAAAATCTCAGAATTGCCAAAGCAATCCTGAGGAAAAGGAACAAAGCTGGAGGCGTAACCCTCCCAGATTTCAGACAATACTACAAAGCTACAATAATCAAAACAGCATGGTGTTGGCACAAAAGCAGACATATGGATCAACTGAACAGAACAGAGAGCCCAGAAATAAACCCACACACCTATAGTCAATTAATCTTTGACAACAGAGGCAAAAATATACAATGGAAAAAAGACAGACTCTTTAACAAGCGGTGTTGGGAAAACTGGAAAGCCTCATGTATACCAATAAAGTTAGAACACACCCTCATACCACACACAAAAATAACTCAAAATGTATTAAAGACTTAAATATAAGACTAGAAAAGAAGAGAACATAGGCAAAATATTCTCTGACATAAATTGCACCCATGTTTTCTTAGGTCAATCTCCCAAAGCAAGAGAAATAAAAGCAAAAATAAACAAATGGAGCCCAAACAAACTTACAAGCTTTTGCACAGAAAAGGAAACCATAAACAATGAAAAGACAATCTACAGACTGGGAAAAAATATCTGCAAATAATGCTACCAGCAAGGGCTTACTTTCCAAAATACAGAAACAGTCCATACAGCTCAATAACAAAAGAACAGACAACCCAATCAAAAAATGGACAGAAGACTTAAACAAACATTTCTCCATAGAAGACTTATAAATGGCCAACAGGCAAATGAAAAGATGTTCAACATCACTAATTATCAGAGAAATGAAAATCAAAACTACAAGGAGGTATCACCTCACACCAGTCAGAAAAGATCTACAAATAAATGCCGGAGAGGGTGTGGAGAAAAGGGAATCCCCCTACATTGTTGGTGGAAACGTAAACAGGTGCAGCCACTATGGAAAACAGCATGGAGGTTCCTCAAAAAATTAAAAATAGAGTTGCCATATGATCCAGCAATCCCATGACTAGGCAGGTATCTGGAGAAAACTATAATTCAAAAAGATACATGCACCAGTGTTCACAGCAGCACTATTTACAATAGCCAAGATATAGAACAACCTAAATGTTCATCAACAGATGAATGGATAAAGAAGATGGGGTATATGTACACAATGGAATACTATTCAGCCACAAAAATGAACTAATGCCATTTGCAACAACATGGATGAACACAGAGGTTATCATACTAAGTAAAGTAAGTCAGAAAGAGAAAGACAAATAACATATATGTCACTTACATATGAAATCTAAAATATGACACAAATGAACGTATTTGCAAGACAGAAACAGACTCACAGACATAGAAAACTAACTTACAGTTACCAAGGGGGAAAGGAGGTAAGGAAGAGATAAATTAGTAGTTTGGAATTAGCAGAACCATAATATATATATATAAAATAGATAAACAACAAAGTCCTTTGGTATAGCACAGGGAACTATATTCAATATCCTGTAATAAACCATAATGGAAAAGAATGTGAATACTATGTATTTTATGTAAGTTACACAAAAAACACTAAGACTAAAGACAACAATAATATTCAGTTTATTAATCAAAGAACAATTTAAACTGTATATGAATGTCACATTTCTTTATAAGCTGTATGTAAGATGTTAACCTACTTTCAAAAAACAGCAAATGCAGGGGATTTCAGTCAAGATGGAGTGGTAGGACCACAAGCTCGCCTCTCCTCACAACTACAACAAAACCACAACTGAATGCTGAACAACCATCAAAAAAAGACTGGAACCTAGCAAAAAAGACCTTCTGCAACTGGAAACATAAAGAGCAGTAGGACGGTAGGAGGGACGTGCTCGTGATATATTTGGGCCCCATATCCTCCAGGTGGGCAACCCACAAGCTGAAGATTTGTTAAGTCGCAGAGGCCCTCCCACAAAAGTGAGAGCTCTAAGCCCCGTGTCAGGCTTCCCAGCTTGTGTCCTGGCACTGGGAGGAGGAGGAGCCCCCAGGACATCTGGTTTTGAAGGTCAGCAGGGCTTGGCTCTGGGAGCCTCATGGGACTGGGG